TTGAAGACCGATTTCTATCTGGTAATGGCAGCATCAACCAGCACATCCCAATTAAAGATTTTAATCTGTGTGGCTGAGATTTCCTTCGGGGGTGGCTACATTCAGTCTGTGATCCCACTGTATGGGACTCTAGCCATCCTTGCCGGCATGCTTAAGAGATGGGCTTTAGTACTACGTACTGAAGCATCCAGCATGGGCATGTACAAGCACTGTAAATCTACCATTACAACTCCACCCACAGGATTCCTGATATATGGTATATTCTCCTTCCACTATGAAGAAATGTTATATTTTTCTATGGCTTAAATGTTGAAACAGATTGGGTACCTTTGCTTTAGAGCAGAGGTGGCCAACTTACTGGATGCAGACTAACAGACTGACATGCTACTGGAGAAAGAGACTGACAACGTGCTATAGGTCACAGATTGTGGACATACTACCGAAGATGGCCAGAGACTGCCTGCATATGCTATAGGTGTGATTTGAGACCAGGAATATTGTTGCAAGAGACTGCCAGAAATGAGTCCTACTACAAGCCCTTCACTCAATATTCCCTAATTGTATGCTTTGGGCTACAGCCACCTGCAAATTTCTGGTGCCACACTTGATATTCCCCTCAGAAAGATGAATTTAAAACGATCAGAGATGAACAATAAAGCAAAAAATAAAAGCGCGTGAGCTGCACAGAAAGGTAACGGGGCAAAAGAGATGAACCACAATTGGCAGAAGCAAGTGTTATGGATATTGTTTCTGCTTTGGTTCTTGTTCTGGCCAAAGACCAAAGATTAAGCACCAGGGTTTTAGAGAGTAAAATGCCTTATTTTGTGTGTATGACTGCAGCAATAAAATTAGTATTGTGTAGTCTAAAGCATTGTATGTCGTACTTTGTATTTGCTTGGAGCTGATATTTGCTGCCATGTGAGTTATGTTCGCATGCTCTGGGTATTGCGGTACACAAAAATGTGTGTTTCTCATCACCATTTTTTTTCCTGTATCTTATGCTGCTGAATGGACAGACAGGGATGAAACATGGGAACAGAGGAAAGAGGCAAGCACTAAAATCGGCATCTACAGACCTTGGTTCAGCAGATATAGGCAAGTAAAACATACTCTGATTTCTGTTACCTAAATAACAGCAATATTGCCCCACAGCAATACATCATTTATTCCATGGTTTTCCAATTAAATTGTACTGTAAAATGTCCTTTAATATTTACCATCTGTGAGGACTCTTCTATATAATCCATTCAATTTACATCCAGTCAGGGTAGTTTCTTTTATTGCACAGTTGCTAGTAAATGTAATGGCAATTGTACGATCAGTTGGGGGTCATCTTAAAGAAACTGTTTTAACTATATGTATCTTGTGTGGCCTGCTTACAAGATCCTTAGATTTATAAATCAGATGGCTTGCTAATTTAACAAACTGACAAAACTGTACCTTGACTATATATAAAAAGCCCTGCTATATTACACAGCTTCTCTTCATGTTAAAGTATTATTAAACCCTCTGGGGTTTTTTTGCATATATCTACAGTTAGCAAGCAGTAGATATATGCAAAAAATAAACCACTTTAAAAGCGGTATAAACTTACCTGCGTCTTCCCCGCGCACTCCAGTCCGAAAATCGGAAAAATCTCGGGTGGCCACAAAGCATCTTGGGGCGGGCGCATGCGCTGTCCAGATTTTCGGCCGGGAGACGAGGAGAGAGACAAGGTAAGTATATGGACAGCGTGTACCCGCATGCAGACACCGTGGGACATGAAGTGCCAGCAACGACAGGAGTCAGCGCTGGATCGGAGACCCGCAGGAGCGCTGCAGGGAAGGCTGAAAACAGGAAAGATCAGATTAAGAGACATCATTTAAGGTAAGTGCTTACATTAACATTGGGGGGAGGGGGGAAAAAAGGTATCCTTTATTGTCACTTTAACCATATCCTTATGAGTTCCACTGTGAAAGCAATAGCTTTAAAAGCGACATTAACCACTTGCTGTCCGAGGCAATTTCTAGATATTTGCACACATGATAAAATCTGAATTTTTGGCTAGAAGTCCGCTTAAGACCCCCAAACAATTATATAATTTCTGAAAACGGAGGCCCTGTAAAATAAAAAAAGACCCCCTTTTTTTTTCAGACCCCTAAAGTCACCTAGGGACCCCAAAGAAGCTGATGAAGTAGAGATCTGAGCAGAATGCACACAGTGACACCGGAAGTGATGTAATACACTTCCAGGTCCAGTGATCGGAGGAGAGAGCAGCTAGAAGCTTGCTGATTTCCCTCTGATCGGTCAGGGGAGACCCGCTGTGCCGGTACCGGGCCCGTACGGGGGACAGCGGAGCTGGCGGCGAACGGGGGCACATATTGCGCAGCACTGTACAAACAATCCAGTGGCTGTAAACAGAAATCGGCTGCTATCTAAACAGAAATCGGCTGCTGCTTAAAATGATATCAAGAACACCGCTGCTGCTGCAACCGTGTTCTTGGTATAACGGCTTCAGGACCGGGACGTCAAACCTTCGTTTTTGGGTTGTTTTTTTTGGTTTATGGGGCCATACTTTAAAAAAAACAACTTTTTTTTCCTTTTTTAATTTCCTCGTTCTCTAGTGGTATCCAGACTGCTAGCACCACTCCCCCTGCACGGTTGCCTCCATCAGCTAGCCGGCTGTTGTGGAGGCACCCTTGCGTGCACGCTCACGGCTGTTCCCGCACGTAGCCATGTGCGCCCATAGACACTGTGTGCGGCTGCCCATGCCCCCACCCTTGTAGTCACAGCTTGACTGATGGCAGAAGGAGTCTATGGATCTTCTGCCCTCGGTACTCTCCCCCGCAACCAGTAAGTTCGGTGAATCCCAAGTTTCTTCCTGGCGAAGGAGACGAGTGGCTGTAGGTAAGTGTGGGGAGGACAGGGGTGTTGGAAAGTGCTGGGTATTTTTTACCTTAATGCACAGAATGCTGCCTTTTTTAATACTAATTTCACAGCTTTATGGGTTATCTTTTAGCAGCTGTTATGGAAAAAGCGCACCTGAACAGCAGATGAATTTAGGTTACACACAGGGCTAAATGACTCATTTAGGAGGAGGAGCTCACTGCTCCTGTTTTTGTTTGGTAACACATGGGCACCTAGAGAAACATGCCTACATTGCTTTAACTCCATGTAATAGCATGGAAGATAACATTTCTCCATGTAATATTTATTGCAAAAAGTATTTCATTTGTTTTATGTTGCTTATTTTTGTCCATTGATCTATGAATGCACTTGTGTCTTGTGCCAGAGCTTTTAGGCAGAAATGAGCTGGAGGAAAGATGTTACCATGATTAACGTAGGGCTGTGGTCAATCTATGAGATCAAATTGATTTTGTTGGCTGCACATACCAATAAGAATGGCCACTCTGTTTTTCTAAGTACCCCCCTAGAACATTTTGTAAATACCCATTGATCTGCTAGTAGAAACCTTTTTAGACACTTCTTTTAAAGGGGACAACACTATTTTTTTCTGCAATATGATGTCTTTCTGACATTAAAATGTTGTCACCCTTGCTGTAGCTGCTTGAATGTTGGCACTGTTGATATCGGTACAATACAATCAGTAAATAGCTGTGCCCACAGCCCTTTAGATGAAGAGCGCATTGCTCTATCTGCAGGAGCTCAGGGAAATCATATAAAAACCTTTCTCAGACCCTCCAACCCTTTCTAGCAGAATGCACTAGAAAACCAGCTTCTTCTTGTGCTCTGTTTAATCACAAAGTCAGAAGAAAGTGAACAAGCTACTTTTTATTCTCATCTTGCTTTGTGTGCGGCACACTAATGTTATTTTTTTGTGTTTTTTTTTTTTTTGTAGTTCTGGGCCGTGTTCTGGAGATTACAGACCTACCAGAAGGCATCACTCGAGCAGAAGCAGGAAAACTTTTCACACAGCTGGCAATGTCTGGGGCCAAAATACAGTGGTTGAGGGACGCTCAGGGTCATGCCCCAGGACCTAGTGGCAACAATAATGGACCTGCAGAAAATGGCCGCCAAATTCACAACAATGACCTGGCAGCCTTTTATACCATCGTGGCAGTCTTCCCCAGCACCATGGCAGCACAGAACGCCTCAGTGCAGCAAAACAGTCCACTCAGCCACTTCAAGTTGCGCAGTATCAAAAAGAACTATGATTTGCGCATACTGGAACGTGCCAGCTCGCAATAGCATGTGAAGATAGGTGGGGAAAGGTGTGAAGGAGGGGACAGGAGGAAGAGGAATACATCTCTCCCTTTCTAATCACACCTCTTTTTCTCTCCTCTTCCCACCACCAGTTAAAGAAGCACACTGGACTTATAAATACAGCCGCTACCTTTCTAGCCCTCTTGCTCCATGCACCTTTTATTGTTATCAACAGCTTCCTTAAGCCATTTTACTTCATGTTTGTCCAACCTTTTAGTTTTATCATTCTTCACTTCTGATTCGCTGCCCAATGCTCACACATCTCTTATGTTGCCTACTTTCTTTATATGTTTCTTTCCTAAACTTGCACGCTCTCCTTTATGTTTGGCTTTTCTTTCATTATGCCGCTGACTCCCACCGTTCATTATCTTTGTGGGCCGCTACCATATCGTTGATGCCCATTTGTTTCTTTCACATCCTGCATACACCACAGGCTCTTCTACCGTGTCAAATTTTATATATTGATTTTCCTCTTCGAATTCTCTTCTGCGGTACTTTTTATAAAGACGTTGCCCAATTTCTGATCGAGAGCAGAGATGCTCTGTAGCGGGTATGAAGCTGCCATAGGGCAAAAGGGTAAAGGAATGGACAGATTATTTTTTTCTTTCTTCACCCTGAGTGAAATTTTGAACATTTTGCCTTTTTTTATTTCTATTTTTTTTCTCAGAGTTGGTTGTCCCTGAACATTGTATAGATTTTTTTTTTCGTTCTTTTTGATGCTTGTGAGAGTACATTAACATGGGTATTTATTTGCACAAATGGGCTGTACTCACTGTAAATTTTATTTAATCCGATTTTGTTTTTAAATATGGAAAAAAAGTATGTGTCACATTAACAAAGTGTGTCTTTTTCTTTATAGTTTTGGTAAAAACAAGATTTATATTGTGTTATGTATTCTGGTGTCGTTCTGTTATTAACACCAATTGTTCATTACTTTTGCTGTCTCCCCCCTCCAAGAAAGAGACACCGCTGCAAGATTTAATTAGTATAATATACCAAAGCTGCCACTACTATAAAATTGCAACTACAGGTGATTTGATACCATATACAACACTACACCCAGCCATAATTAATAAGCAGGCACATGGCTAAATAAAAAGATAAAATGAATATATGGGAGCTGTTTTACCACCATAGGATTTATATTTCTGTCCATCCAGAACTGAGATTTACAAAGCTGCAGTTAAGTGGCACTTGCAGATCTTCTTGTTTCTCCCCCTCACCTTTGACTGGTCAGTGAAAAGAAAAACCGCACACAGATGAGATCTGAGCAACTAAATGTGCCGAGCCACAACGCTCAAACGAATGTCAATGAATGAATAGTAAATGGATCAAATGTGAAGTCTGTAAATGTTCATAACTCTGAAGATGTCCATATATAAACAGCAATAGTGATGAATATTTCTTGTTCCTTCACCAAATGCCCCACACCTGATATATGGGTGCTCACCTTATTGATAGACTCCAACAAAAGGTAAAAATCAGGCTATTCCCTTCTTAACCAGGTGAGGGGGCCCTCAGCTCCAATCGCTCACAGATGTCCTCCAATGATGTATTCAGACCAGCAGACAGATCTGTATATCACTTCTTTAGTAAGGAAACGGTAACCTCCAATCTTTATCACTTAATCCTTATGTCCCATCGCAGTCCTGACCGGAGGAAGCCCAATGCAGCCGGGCGGGTGCAGTAGTGACAACGGATTTCATTTATCCAATCTTTATCAAACTGTAGGCCTCCTCAGTATAGGATGTCAATACCAGGATCGTGTTATTAAAAGAGAAAGCAAACACCATAGCGCATACCATCCAGAGTATGATTAAAAGAAAATTATTTGCATCAAAGCAGTGGTAACACAGCTTGTAATCTCTCTTAGGCGTGTATGCAGGAGTTTCAAATAACTGTGGACTTCAGTTATAGAGATCAATGTGACGTCAGATGCTTCGCCCTACTCGCATTACGTCCCGCGTAACTTCATCAGGGATCAGGTTCGACGTAATGCACATAGGGTGAAGTGCAGACTTCAATTTTGTTCCATTTACTATTCATTCACTGACATTGTTTGAGTCACAAATTCTTTTATTGTTTTGTTTTTTTTGTATTGCTCATTGTTGTAGCTCGGCACATTTAGCTATTCATTTTTCACGTATACACACTCAGTGGGTGTACATTCCAGTGCCTTGTAGCTGTTAGCTTGCTTATTGGTGCAGTTCATTTTTATGTTTTTTGGTTTATACACAGATGAGATCACCTCTGTTCTGCTCTCTCCTCCTTTTAGCATGTGCCTTGTTAGCACGAGCACTGCAGCACAAATAATTTGTTTCTTGTGCTGCTTTTCGCTCTCCCAGTCTGATCTCCCCTGTGCAAGGATGGGCGATAATTACAATCCTGGTATTTTGCATTGAAAGAAATGCATTTCTGATGTATTTGTTCCCTGTCCTGTTGATCCTCTGGTTTCAATACTTTAGGTTGCTACATACTTGTACCAGAGCAGTGACTAACAGAAGAAGTCTACCCATAAATATAAATTATATATTTTTTTAATCCTACCCCCTAGGTTACATAGTGCATGTAGCCCTTTGTACCTTCTTATAGGTGCTCTGGAGCCACTTGGGAGCCCCACACTTGGGGCTAGGTTTGTGTGGGAGTTGGTATCTCCAGGGACTATTAGAACTGTTGTAACTACTAAGCTCAGACGCACTCATTGGTAAGGGGGAAGTAACAACTGAGTGCCACAATAGGAATGACCACAAATCAGGCTGCATGCAGGGGAGGAGTTCAATGACTATTACAGCAATTATGTTGTTTTCTATAGCATCTCCCAGTGTTACTTTTCTGCACCAAAGAGAATTAAATTATGAATTAATAGACCAGAAGGTAAGATTTTATTCATAATGAGACTTCTTCATATAGTATTGACAAATGCTGCCAAGTACCTTTAACATTTTAGAATAATTTCTGGAGTGGCTGCCCTACAATACTGCTCTGTGACAGATGTATTTTAAGAATTTTAACAAGCAGTTTGGATGGATAGGCTGAGTGTCTACTGGGTGAAGATATTTGCCTGTTTCCATTTTGCAGCAGGCTGCTGCATGCAGGTTCTTATCGACTTGCATTTCTCTGCTAAGTTAGTGTTACAATAATTTCCTATTCAAGTCTATGATCTTACAGAGTAGTCTGGATTTTGGAAAGTATTTTATATGAAGAAGCTACATTTCTGTTTAGAACTTGCTAAATCCAACTCCACAGGTTTCTTTAGTAGCTTAGTTTAAGGCGTTTTTCCATAGGAGTCATTGGCCACATCCATAATAGAGATCTACCCAATGTTCTGCTATTGATATGTATGTTCTAGGTCGCTAATGCGACTAGAAATTGCTTCCCGGCAGCTGGGCTTTTGTCAGCCGGTTCACTACGCCTTGATTTCTTCTCACCACTGCAATAACTCTGCAGTTCTCCTCCTCGCTGCAGACTATCAGCGATCTATCCTTACAGGCTGCAGCGGTCTGTGTCAGAAGGGACACAGGTCTCTGTATTATTATAATACAGGATTTATATAGCGCCAATAGTTTGCGCAGTGCCTTACAATATAAGGAAGACATTACAATTGCAATACAATTCAAGACAAGATGGTAAGGAGGGCCCTGCCCGTGAGGGCTTACAATCTAAAAGGGAGGGGCAAGTGATACATGAGGAGGTAGCTGTGTTGGGATGAATTGTCTGAGAACGTGATGGTTGAGTGGTTGGGTTGAGGTGGGATAGGCTTCCCTGAAGAAATTAGTCTTAAGGGATCGCTTAAATGCAGTCAAAGTGGGAGATAGACGGACAGGTTGGGGTAAGGAGTTCCAAAGAATGGGGGAGACTAGAGAAGTCCTGGAGGCAAGCATCCGAGGAGTTGACAAGGAAGCTAGAGAGCAGGAGGTCTTGGTAGGAGCGTAGGGGACGGTTAGGGTGATACTTTGAGACAAGGTTGGAGATGTAACCTGGGGCTGAGTTGTGAATGGCTTTGTAAGTGGTTGTTAATATTTTGAATTTTATCCTTTGGGTGATTGGAAGCCAGTGCAGGGATTGACAGAGGGAGGTTGCAGACACTGAGCGGTTGGTTAGGTGGAAAAGTCTGGCAGCAGCATTCATGATAGACTGAAGGGGGGGGTAGCCTGTGTAGAGGTAGGCCAATGAGGAGGGAGTTACAATAGTCGAAGAAAGATAAGTGAGTGGATGAGCAGCTTTATGGTTTCATTGGTGAGGAAGGGGCGTATTTTGGGGATGTTGTGAAGGTGGCAGGATTTGGATGTGGGGAAAAAAAGGTGAGGTTCGAGTTAAGGATGACACCTAGCACCTTGGCATGGGAGAGTGTTGTATAGTATTCTCAATCATGATTGAAACATTGGGGGAGGGAATACCATGAGCTCAGTTATTGAAAGATTGAGCTTTAAAATGTGACATCTAGACTGATATGTCAGTTAGTAAGTTAGAGATACGTAAGACTGAGGGGGTAAGTTAGTGATACGTAAGACTGAGGGGGTGGGTTGTGGAACGATATATTTGAGTCATCAGCATTGAGATGATACTGGAATCCATGTGAGGTGATCAACTGACCAACAGAGGAGGTGTAGATAAAGAGAAGGGGTCCAAGGACAGAGCCTTGGGGGACCCCAACAGAAAGGAGAAGATGTAGATTTGTAGGTTACACTAAAAGAGCACTTGGGTAGGAGGAGAACCATGAGAGAGCAGAGTCTTGTAGGCCAAGTGAGGAGTTTTTTGAGGAGCAGTGGGTGGTCAACTGTGTCAAAAGCAGCAGAAGGTCTAATAGCAAGAGTAAGGAGTAGTGGCCATTGTTTTTAGCTGTTAGTAATTAGTGAGTTTTAGGAGGGTGGTTTCAGTGGAGTGTTGGGGGCGAAAGCCAGACTGTAAGGGATCAATGAGATTGTTATCAGAGTAAGGAAATAGGTCTGAGATTGTTGAGGTTGATGGGGGTCTAGTGAAGGATTTTTGGGTATTGGGGTGACCAGGGCATGTTTTAGAGGAGAGGGAAAGATGCCAGTAGAGAGGGCGAGATTAAAAATGTGAGTAAGATAGAGTAGGATAGAGCAAGATTTTCATCGAAGTAGTGGTGAGGGAACAGGGTCCAGGGGACAAGTGGTGAGGTGGATGTCGTTTAGCAATGTTGCGTAGCAATTGAAAAAAAAGTAGGACTATTGGCAACATTTGAAATTGGTAAAGAATTCTAGGGAACATTATTTTTAATTCTTTCTTCCCGCACAAGTGTATTATCTTCTTCCACTGTGCTAGAACATGTTATATCTTTCAATAATGAAGCATAATTAAATGTGTGTAGTTTAATTGTGGAGTAAGGGAAATACCCAAATACTTTAACTTTTGAGACTTCCATTGAAAAGGCAACCTTGATCTTAATGCCTCCCATCTCTTGTATAGTATTAATATTGAGGATTTCTGAGTTGGTCAAATTTGGATACATAACTAAAGGATTCACATTCTTTAAGTCAAGTAAGATATAAATGAGTGTTGAATAAAGAAAATAATATAATCTGCATATGCAACCAATTTGCGTTCTCCCTATCGGCTATGAACCTCATGTATATTAGAATTAAGGTGAATCGAATTCAAAAGATCTTCCCAAGAAAACAAATGGTATAGGAAGTAACGGGCATTCCTGTCTGGTTCCATTGTGTAATATCATTATAGAAGAAAGTTTAAAGATTTCCTAACCCTGGCCTGCAGAGAAGACTACTATGCTGTAATCATATTTAACATTCTAGTTCCAAAGTAGCTGTAAAGCATTCCCAGTTCACTGCATCGGTAGATCACAGGGTGGGCTGG